TAATAATTAATGATAAATTTAAAAATTTTTATTAAGAGTAAAGTTCACTTTGAATTTCATAAAATGTGTGCAAAAAATACTTTCCCACCCGTCCGTTACAACTTTTGCTTTATGTTTTTTGGTTGTTTATACATTCTTGTAAATATTCCAATCATGTGATCTGTTTATATTACATCTTATCATCTAAAAATAGCTTTTTTTGTTTTTTTATTTTTTATTTTTTAAACAATAAATTTTAATCTTTCTGCAATATGGGCAGACCAAAGAAAGAGAACAATAAAAACCAACAAAAACAATAATTTCGCTTTCGTCCTGGTACTCCAGAGCAACAACCAAGCAAAAGACAGAATACCTTATAGACCACTGAACCTGAGAGTAGTGTCTCCACTAACAACAATAACAAAGAAACTCCAGTCATTATGGATGTTGACCCTCTTTCACTCGATAAAGGAAAGGGCAAAGAAGTTTTAACAGATGATACATCTATAGTTATCACCTCTGAAAAAGTACTCATAAATGTTGACGACGCTAATGATACCTCAGAAAATTTTTTGAACAACAAAAAAAGCCCTCAAGAAATTTTCACCAAAAAAACAAATTTTTTCGCTTTCTTTCCAGCAGATGATTACCCTGAAAAATCCCTTCAAGCTAAAATCTCTGACGTCACTGACCTTATTTTTGATCAGTTTGATCCTTTTTCAGGTGTTGTATTTGCCAAACACCCAGAAGACCAATTAAAAAAGATTTTAAAAGCAATATTCTCTGACAAGAAATAAAGGGACGCATTCTGTAAAGTCATATTGCCTAATTTAGAAAATCGCACATTTTTATCCTTAGAAATCGTACCTAAACATCCTTTCATTTTACAACAATCAATTAAAGTTACTGAAATATCATTGGATGCCATTGAATTACGCATAAAAAATTTTTTTCTCGATTTGGCAAGATCGTTAGATCTAACATGAAAACAAAATATCTCTGGCAATAAGCTACAATCACATATGATTCAGATGCTAACTTCGTTGAACTCAAGAAAGGTTATGGGTTTTCATCCTCAATGACATGGTTCAATTCCACATATGCGATCTGCCACGTGATAAAATCTTGGAAAGATCTAAATTCTCAGCTAAGCTTACATATCTTCCTCGCTATACCACGGGTAAAGATTTATCTGACCTAGGTCTAATGATTAATGCAACAGTTTGGATTATTCCAAAGGCACGATCTAATTATCACAACCTTCAACATGCTTTCTTTTATTTTCCTTCAGCTGATGATTACGAAGCAGCAATCAGTAATGATAATTTCACGATCAATGGCAAATGTGTAGAATGGACAGAAACTAAAGTCAAATTATGTGCTATATGCTCTTCTTTACATCATAAAATCAAAGATTGTCTAAAAAAACATCGTAATCCACAAGATAAAAATACCCAACATCTATATCAACACTTTTAACTAGTACAATACAATAACTATAAAGCTCCTATTCGTCCTCGTAAAGGAGCTATTAGCCCTAACATTACCTTTGCTAACGTTATTACAGATGGTTCTCAAAAATAAGCCAAAATGACCAGTATATCTACAAAGCCACCTTCTGCATCAAAAAATAACAATAATACCTTATCAAAACAACCCCTTGATTTATCATCAGATTAGAGTGATGATATTCCTCCAAACATGAAACAACAATTCAAGTATCCTGATCAACAGCAATACAGATCATGTGACATTTCTATAGGAACAACTGCAGGAGGCTCTATACACGAACAAAATGGTGATCAAGACTTCAAAGATTTCATCAAAACTAGTTTCCTGCTACTCACACAAAAACTTGATGATCTCACGCTCACTTTGAACTCCACCATGAAACGAATGGAAATAATTGAGCAAACTCTCAATATCAAAGTCAACTTCCCTGATGAAGAAACTATGGTAGATTATGATGTGAAATAATATGAAAATAGTCCTGTTATTGATGCCTCTACCTTAATCATTAACAAACAAAAACAAACCATTTCAGTACTCACAAAAATTACAGAAGCCCAAAATTTACGCCTCAAAAATTTTACTGAAACAGTCAATACCTTGGTCACTACGTATAACACATTTCGTGCTGTTCTCATCTACAATGGCTTCCTTCAAATCGACAAAACTCTAACAACATATACTCTCAACACCAATTACGATATTGAAGCTGAAAAGGCTCTAAAGAGCCTTCCCCAATTTTAATAATATGTTTTATGATTACTGTCCCTACAGATACTAACAATATTTTCCTTACACCTAATAATACTTTCAATACAACCCCCATTAATGTACCCAAACTCTCTTTTGCAACTCATAATGTTAGATCGTTTACTAACGTCGCCAAATAACACCATCTTTTATCATTATACTCTTCATACAACTTAGATATTATTGGTCTTCAAGAAACCAATTTTAAACCCCAATATGAAAAGATCTTTAATTCATCTCATCCTTTCTTCATATCCTTTTTTAATTTCACACCTAAACAATACACCGCTTTCAGTATTGGAATAATACTCAACAGAAAGATTGCTTATCATGTTTACAAGCATGAAACTAAGCTCGATCGAGTGATTTGTGTTGACTTACAATTTGCAAATAAACAAAGACTACGTATTATCAATTGCTACTTACCACCAGCTGATCTAAAAATGAGAAAAGAAGTCTAACTGGTCCTCAACAATTGGATTAACGAAGTCGCTGTCAATGACTTTCACTTGATCGTTCTGGGAGACTTTAATACTGACATAGATCAAACACAAAATCCTACTAACAGCCTAAAACTCTTCAATAATTTTCATAGACTGTCACTGTTTGATACCTTTATAATCAAATACGATCGAAATAGAACTCACTATCCTAGTTATTTTTCGAGTCAAGCCTCTTTCAGGATTGATTACATCTAGACATCTACTGACATCTCCCTCAATTTGTTAGATTGTCATATAATTGCACTCAACACAAATATATCAGATCACCACGTAGTCGTTGCTACAATCACGAATTTTCTAGACATTAAATTTCACAAGCGCAATATTCCAAAAAAAATCAGTTTCAATTTTGATAATATGAACGAAAACCTATGGAGTAAATTCAAAGCTAAACTCGACGTATTATTAAATGGTAGCCAATTGAAAATGATCAACCAAGAAACATACTGGATGCACTCCCTGCTAAACAAACACTAGGACTTCTTTCAAGATCTTTTAATTAAAGCAGCTGAGAAATGTATACCACTCAGGAAATCTTCTGGACAATTCAAATATCCAAGACCACCCAGCCTCAAAAGTCTATACTCACACCAAAAAACCTTACACAAATTCAAAAAGCTACTCCTCAAAGTCAAAAGAGGCACTTCTTTTCCTGTCAATTGGATACAAATGTATGACAAATATCACAATATTGCTAACTCACTTGCATTTATTACAGCACATTCACACCCAGATTACCCATTTAATTTTGTTGACCTTCTCTTATCGGACACTGTTCTTTTACTCAAAGTCCTTCTATGCAAAACCAAAATTTATGAAAATGAATACAAACTTACCTCTATACAGAAAAATTTAAAATAACGTTTAGATGCGTACGCTAATAATCCAAAAAAGATGCTTGATTCAGCATTAAACCATATAAGGAAAACAATCGTATTAGACAGATGTTTATTACGGAATGCTCAAGATCTCCTCACAGATGAATACTTAGTTAAATAAACAATCAAAGATCATTTTCAAAGAGCAGCAGGTACTACACATGAACTGAAAAACATCCCTGATGAATGGCTCCCTTCATACAGTCCACTCGAAAACATTGACTTTAATATATACAATAGCTTGATATCACCACCCTCAGCAGAAGAATGGTATTCTATCATTAATTCTCTTGCTGATGGAAGAGCATCTGGGCCATCCAAAATATCAAATAAAATGCTTAAAAATCTAGGTCCCTCAGCTAAAAAGATCTTTTAGTATTTAATATGTAATTGTTTGTCGATTTTTACAATTCCTCATCGCTGGAACTTAGCGTATGTTTACCCAATTCTAAAACCCAAACCTTGGGAATTTGACCTAAATAATACTAGGCTGATCACCTTATTAGAATGTCTAAGAAAAGCTCTTATAAAACTCATTAATACGCGATTATTAACAGTCTTCATCTAATATAATATCCTAAAAGGACATAACTTTGCAGAACTCACCTTTCGCTCTACCTTTGAACCTTTGCACATCTTAGATAACATTAAAAATGACGTCCTCTCTAACAAAAAAGAACTGTGGGTCCTTCTACAAGACATGTTAAAGGCTTACGACTACGTTAATATTTTCATGATAGTCAAAGCTCTCGAACGTTTAAAGTTTCCTAAATCCTTCATATTCTTCATCCTAAACATGTTTATACAAAGGAAAAACCAAGTTTTTACTTCTTTTGAACTCACAGATACTTACAAGGTTTTCTCAGGAATTGATCAAGATGAAATCATTTCACCCCTCCTGTGGTGTATTTACTACGATTCCCTATTATGCAGAGTGCAAAATTCTGATCTTAGCTATACCATATCAGTAGGATGGAAACCTAACGTTCGCTTAAATACCTTAACAAATAATAATGCAAAACATCAGTACTAGCATACATGAATGATACACTATGGATCGCAGATTCAAAATAACAGCTCAATGGAATTATAGATATCGCCAATAGTTTTTATGACTTGAACAGTATACAAGTGAACTGGATAAAATTAGATCTTCTGATCAACACTAATCCAGCACAGAATATTCAAACAAATGTAAATGGCTCTACATATACAATTACTGCCTCACGTCCTTAAGACTCTATTAAATACTTAAGAGTCTAGATCTCACTCAAATGTAATAAGACGTTTATCGTCAAACAAGCCATTCAGGACGTTAAGTCTACAGTTGCTATATTATTTAACAAAAAATAACGGACAAACAACTTACTTACACGTTTAATGTTGTCATTATACTTTACATTAAATATCGCATCCAATTGACTCATTTATCAGAAACACTGGCAGATCGCATCATACGACCCTTCAGAGCTTTGCTCAAGAAAAAACTTTGTTTTTCAAAAGATACGCCTGCTTGTCTCATACACTCAAATCTCTTTTATGAAGTCATACACCTTTATCACCGACACATGCAAGCTCTTAGTGATGCTCTACTGACATCTCTGAATGATACCAGTCTATTAGGCATAACCACCAATATACGGCTATTATAATTACAAATTAAAGAATGGTTACCAGCATCACCGCTAGTTATATGGCCCTACAAAAATGCCAAATATTTTAGCAACTGGATTCCAGCACTCTTATGCGATCTCAAACGTTTGAATATCATCTTATCACCACCAGATCAATTTATACATAAAATACAAGGCAGTTCCACTACCATATAGTCACTTATATCACAAGACTACAGGAAATCAGCTTCATCCTTATCTAAATACTCTCTAATGTTTGTAGAACAGTTACTAAGCCAAGATGGAAAATCATTGTATACTACTTAAGATCTCAGTTATTTATCATCAACTTTCAGGAAAGGACCGCTCCCAAAATGGTACCTCATAATTAAAAGCGTACTTAATGTTAACGAACTTAACTTGTTGCCTGAACCTACAACTTATAGACAAAATCCCACTTATGGATTTCTAACGATACCATTACAAAATGATATAATAGCCTGATCATTTATTACATATTGGGACTGCAATGCCAACACAATGATAGTAGGTCATGTCCTGAAGATAACTGGCAGTTTTACTACTCATTATACGTACACTCATACTATTGATATAATTCTGCACCAGTGTAACGGTTGTTTACTCCATAGACTTAACCTATTTAAAAGCAACTCCCCTTGGCTTAACAATCATAAATGCATAGTGACTACGCCTCTTAATCTTTGTGTAAAAATAACAATCAAAAATACGTGAAAGCAACACATCAACACATGGTCTCCAATACTCATAAAGGATATTGCACTTTACAAGTTTAATTGGTCCTATAATAGTCCCTCTAATTTATTTCTAATTGAATTCTGCCGTCCAGCGTCTCTCTCATTAATATCAAAGTTTATTATGCTACTATATAGTCATGAACTACTAACTCTTTCAAAAAAATTTTCTGCTGCTACACATTTAGAATTTTACATAGACAGTTTCCTCACAGGTTTAGGCACTCCTTCAATGAAAATGGGTATGGCTTGGCTGCAAACGAATCCTTGTTCACCTATGATCTCCTTTGCATCTATATTAGTTATCACATTTCCCTCATCATCAATAGCAGAACTAGCAGCAATCTTTACTGCTGTTTTCGTTGTTTCAAGGAATAGTAACATTACCATCAAGACAGATTCACAAGTTATAATTAGACAATTTCACAATTTCAAAAGTATTTTATGTTTCTCTCCTTCTACCAGACCATTATTCAAGATTAATAACTTTTCGATAT